GATAGGAAACTTACTAATCTCCTAATATCAACAAGAAGAACAGACTCGTGGCTTCGGGACATTGTTTACTAAGAGTGCATGCATTTTAAATTAGGTCTAATAGAGGACAATGAAACCGTGAAAGCACGTGGATCATTTAATTTGCGAGTGTCCAACCTACAGCAGGCAAAGACTCGCCTTACTCGGCAAGGTACAGCTGCAGAGCAGGGTGGTCCAAAAATGCATGCGAAAAAGTAAAGTCGGAATTTTAATGCCGCCACCCCTAGGATTGTTCTATACTGAAAAAATATAACCCTATTTTTTTTATTTTGCCAAAAGCGCTCAAAGCTTTTCATGGATTTTATATGGAGCAAAAACTATTTTTCGTAGAAATGGTATAGAATTTTTGAAAATCAATATTTTTCGATCGGAAAACCCTGTTTCTATTCAGGAGATTCCAAACAATAATACCCAGTTGTTTCTATAACCATTTTTTCATGGTAACTATATTTCATGGGTTCGCCAAACACCCAGAAAAAGCAATGGGGGGACCAATACAAAATCTTTAGTATTAGAAAATGGTTAAATAAACAATTGGATATTAATATTGGAAGTCTTTTGAAGAGAACCATAGTTTTCTGATCGATAAATATTGATTTTCAAGAATTTTATACCATTTTTATGAAAAGTTGTTTTCTCCCATATAAAATGCATGGAAAACTTTGAGCGCTTTGAGCACTCCTTAAATATTTTTTGATTTCAAAATAAAAAATAGGGATATATTTTTTGCTGCCCTTCTTATCATAAGAGAGGGAGCTGTAAACTTTTTCACGGACGGATCAAAACTTGGAGACAGTGTTGAGTTCTTCTGTCGGAAACTCTCCACCAAAACTATGTTGCGGCTTCCGGACTTCTGCATTGTCTTTCAGGGAGAAGTCATCAAGGAAGAGGTAGACTCACTGCTAAGGTGTGTGATGGTGTGCTCGAAATCGGTAAAGGAATGTCTGTCCTATCTATCAGTCGCAGTAGAGTACTTGTTATTAACAAGTTATTAAATTTAGGTGCCGGGTAAAAGTGACATCGCGGGAAACTGCCTAGGTCACGACTTGGCGTTGGAAAGGCACCCTTAAAACGTTATCCCCGGAGGGTGCTCTGAAAGCCATTGTGCGATTGGTATTCACGCGGTAAGGAAACGAAATCACAATGACAATCATAAGCGAGAGAGCATATGTTTACCAACAAAATATATGGCAGCACTTTCAATCGTTCAGAATTACATTCGGTAATTCGCCATTGCTGGGACCAGGAATCAACCGTTAGACCTTTAGTTTGGGATGAATTTGTTATATTTTTTTAAGACTATTCAAAAAAGCCACACATCTCCTAACAGTAAAATTATTATCTTACGAACCTTTAAAAAAAAAAAGAGAATAATCGAAATCGGGTGGGATTTGAAGAG